TCAGTTTGAATTTGCATATGAGTAATTGATGGTCTGTTCCACAGTCTGCCCCTGGCCTTGTTTTCACTGATGATATGGAACTTTTCCATCTTCTTTTTCTGCAGATGTAGTCAATTTGATTTCTATGTATTCCATCTGGTGAGGTCAATGTCTGTTATGCTGCCTAAAGAAGATATTTGAAATTAAAAAATCATTGGTTTTACAGAATTCTATCATGCATTCTCCAGCATCATTTCTATCACCAAACCCATATTTTCCAACTATTGGTCCTTCCTCTTTGCTCCCAACCTTTGCATTTCAATCACCAGTAATGTGCAATACATCTTGATTGCATGTTTGATCGATTTCAGATTAAAGAAGTTGGTAGAATTCTTCTATTTCATCCTCATTGGCTTTAGTGGTTGGGGCATAAATTTGAATAATAGTGGTATTAACTGGACTTCCCTGTAGGCGCATGGATATTATCGTATCACTTACAGCATTGTACCTCATAGCCGATCTGGATATGTTCTTTTTTACAATAAATGCAACACCATTCCTCTACAATTTGTCATTCCCGGCATAGTAAACCATGTGGTTGTCAGATTCAAAATGGCCAATACCAGTCCATTTCAGCTCACTAATACTAAGATACCAATGTTTATGCATTCCATTTCATTTTTGACAACTTCCAATTTTTCCACACTCATACTTCGTACATTTCATGTTCCAATTTTCTATGGATGTTTACAGCTGTTTCTCTTCATTTTGAGTTGTACCCCTTCAGCAAATGAAGGTCCCGCGGGCTTTTCTCCCACGGGCTTTACTTCCATTCACATCACTATTAACTCTACTTTTGAGGAGGCAGCTCTTCCCCAGTCGCATTTTGAGTGCCTTCCAACCTGAGGGGCTCATTTTCCTGCACTATATCTGACAGTGTTTCTCTGCTATTCATAAGGTTTTCAGTGACTAAATATTCGGAAGTAGTTCATCACTCTTTCTTCCTAGTCTGTCTTCATCTGGAAGCTCATGTGAAATCTGTCCATCCTGGGTGACCCTGCTGGTATTTAAAATACCTGTGGCAAAGCTTCCAGAATCACAGCAACTCACAAACCACCACAGTATGACAAATTGACAGACGAGTGGTGGCCATTTGGTTTTATGGAAAATATAGATAAGTGGAAAGAAAAAGTACCCATAATTTCATCGTTCTCAAAAATGACCACTGCTAACATTTTGGAGTACTGTTACTCTTTGTAGCCTTTTGTTATGTATATCTGTGTGTATGTTTTATTTATACCTACATTAAATCTATGGGTCCTGGTGTGGCGCTGTAGGATAATCACTTGACTACTAACTGCAAGGTTGGCAATTCAAATCCACCAGCTGTTCCTTGGAAATCCTATATAGGGTTGCTATGAGTCAGAACTGACTCAGTGGTATACAAGATTAAATCCATGCATATGTGCAGATAAACATAGACTTCTTAAATAACTTTGTTTTTTATAAAAGTAATGTATGCTCATTATGAATAATTCCAGTTCAAACCATGCAAAAAGTATAAAAAAGAAAGTAAAATATCACCCAAATCCTTTTTTTTTCTTCTTACAAAACAGTTGTTAATGTGCTGGTGACTTTTCAAAATACCAGTATACACTTATAGATTGCACATATATCTTTCAACAATGATATGATCATTTATTTAATATTCTATTTTCCCATATTATTAAGAATTTTCATAAGCATTTAATGATTGCATCATATCTCATCATCCATAGTTAACTATTTCTCCTTCATTGAACATTTAAGTCCCCCCCTTTCTTTTACATAACAAACACAACAATCAACATCACTATAGAATGCTCTTCATATTTCAGATGATTTCCTAAGAGAAGACTCTTATAGCTCTCAATTATATTGAATGTCTTAATAGCTCACTAAGCTGTTCCTCCAACTTTTCTTAATCATTTACTTCAGATATTTCTCTTTTATGTTTTTTTTCATCACTTTTTAGTACTTTTAGCTCTTAATTACTATTATTACTCCTTTTCTGATAAAAAAAAAATCTACTTTGGGTCTTTCTTCCATGCATAACGTGTGGGGTTTTTTTTGTTGTTGTTATACAAAATTGAGTACATAAGCAAATTGCTTAGTAATCTCCTTTTTTTATTTAACAATACATACTGAATATTTTCTCCTATTAAGAAATATTCTGCAATATGCACATTCTTGTCAAATGACTTGCTGAAACAAAAATCAGTGGCTAGGGAAATCAGTGGAAAACCATGGGGAAAAAACAGCAAATTTCTTCACGCTTGCTAGAGATTCCCAAAAGTTCCCTCCCTGTAGTGGTGCAGGGCTAAAAGAGCATCTGAGCAAACTGCCATCTCATCTGCTGGAATGCTGCCTAGTTATTCACCCCACCCCCACCCCCCATCATTGGCAGGGTGCCTGAGCTGCATCACTGGCACTTGTTGGTGAGTTTGCATAAACCAGTAGAGCATGGCCTGTAGTCAGTCCCTGGAAGTAAGTTGACCCACAGGAGACTCGTACATATACTCATACCAGTCCATCATTAGACTCATTGACCAGAGTCAAGGATGTTTTCTGAAGGTAAAAGTAGGAGCTGTAGCACTCAGATCTCTCTACCACACTCTGGCAGCCTGGCACAGCAAACAGGACCCAGCAAACAGACCTGGGTTAACTCACTAGCCAGGTGACCTTGGGGAACTCACTTTCCCCTCAGTTTTTCTTTATAATGTGGAAAAATGATACCAACCTTATTGAGTGGTTATGAGGGCCAAAGGGGAAAATATATGTACAAAGTGTGTTAATGTTAATGTCACCCTCTTCTCTCCCCAGTTCAGCCTGGAAGGCAGTGTGCTCTAAAAGCTGTCTCTAGTGTAAAAGGCCTTTAATATAATGACTATATAATATAAGCTCCAAGGCCTCAAGCCCTCAATTTCTACATCTGTGCATTGTTGCCCAGCTCTGTAATTAGAATAATTTGAGGATAAAAATAAAGTAGCCAGACTTTTGGTCCCACTTTCTGTCAAGTTCCAGGGAATTCTGAGGGATGAAAAAGCTGCAAGTTTATATATCCCCACTCTATTATAATTTGGCAACTTGATAACAGATACTAGAGCCTTCTCAGAATCTGAGACAATCAGGATTCATGTTCCAAAAGTAGTTGAAGCAGGTGAACAGAATAGCTGGTCTTTGGGCGCCCATTTTCTCTAACTAGAGAAAGTGTTCAATTGTGTTATCAAACAAGCAATGCTACATCTTCAAGCATGACTAGTGACACTAGCCTTTCTTTCCATTCAGCATACCTGAAAACATGGCACCTTCAGGATTTTTCATTGTTTCTGTTTGAACTCTTTTGCTGTAGCTCTGTTGAAACGCCTTACAAATCCTTTTCTTGTGGCCTCCACCTTAGCCTTGCACCAGAACAGAGACTTGATAGACCCAGACAAGTTCTGCAGCCTCTGCCACGCGACTTTCAACGACCCTGTCATGGCTCAACAACATTATGTGGGCAAGAAACACAGGAAACAGGAGACCAAGCTCAAACTCATGGCACATTATGGGCGGCTGGCGGACCCAGCTGTCACTGACTCATCAGGTGAGGGGGCCTTGCTTACACCTAAGTGGTCTTGGAGCAGGACTTGACTCCCCTGACCAAGCAAAGCTATGTTTTTCCTACTTAAGTATTCTAAAGTAGATATTGCAAACTTAGGTGCCTATAAAAGTCAGATAGGAAATCTGAGTCAGAGAGCCAGGAAGGGCCATGGTCAGCTAGAGTTTGCATGACCCTTTTAGTTAGTTCAGGTTGGTATTCCCTTATGTTTCAGTTCTTCTAAAGAATCTGTAAAGTCAGATTTGTGTAGGCTCTAATTTTTAGATGTGTAGCTAATTTTAAAGTTTTTAAAACCCTGTGTAAGCCAAATACTTCTACAAGCCAGATTTGGTTCACAGACCATCAGTTTGCAACGTCTGATTAAATTTCCTAAGTACCGTCACATTCCTTGGAGTAGGTCTCTACTCTACCAGAATTTTAGAGGGTTCTCAAGGTACCTTCTCCCGAAGCAGGGAGGCCTGCTTATATCCCTGAGATAAAAATAGCAGGCAACTTCCCTGACCTCAAGATGCTAGTCAGAATCATAGAAATGAGAATTCACAAAATTTAGGAACCCTTCCCATCATAATAACTACTTGTGGCCTATAACACCTCCAAAGGAAAGAGCATTATCACCTACTCCTGGTATGGTGTTGTAGGATGAGCACCAGACTACTAACCACAAGGTTAGTGATTCAAACCCACCAGTAGCTCCTTAGAAACTCTATACATGGTTGTTATGAGTCAGAATTGACTTGCCATCAGCAATTCTGTTCTCTCTGGGGATATAGCAGTGACCTAGACAAATACAATTCCTGTCTCATGGAGCTCATGTGAGCATTGGCATTCGTCCTCAGGGCTCTATTGGACAATGGCCTTCCTTACCAGCCCCCCAGCATCCAAGTGTGGAATAACATGGTGTCAGGACACTGCTGTCCAGAGTCATCTGTGCACTTCCCACAACCATGGAGAGTGTGAATACTCAGATGTTGTAGATGTTGCACACCAAATTTGGGGAGGGAGTGATCATACCTCTCTAACAACTCCTTTAGGCCATACTGACATAGATGAGGCAGGTGTTAAACAGGGCTAGGAAGCAATGGGAGACTATAGGCCAAATCCCTCCAACAGTGTCAAGGACTACTCTTCTAATTACTGAAGGACCCTGCTTTACAAACTTCCTCCCAAAGGGCAGGTATTGCTGATATTTATGTTCATATAGAGGCAAGGACATCTCCCATTTAACAGCTCGCATATGCTAAGGAAGGATTCCTAGTGGCACAATGATTAAAGTGCGCAGATGTACTAAAAGGTTAGTGGTTCAAACCCACCAAACATTCCATGGGGAAAAAAATATGGCTTCTCTAAAAATATACAGCCTTGTAAACCCTATGGGGCAGTCCTACTTTGTCTTAAAGGGTCACTATGAGTTGAAGTCAACTAGATGGCATTGGGTAATGGGTTCATATGCCAAGGAATATGGAAACTTAAGAACCAAGTTCCTCAGAGCACTGCTCTTTGATGGCCTTGTACTTGGACCTATGATTGATACAACGTTGCACTGTTAGTGGCATGACTTGGGTTCTCTTGCAGCTGGTCCTTCTCCCCAACAGCTTCCTCCACTCCTGGTCACTCCCTCATTATCGCTTATCCATTGGCAGGTCTCAGGCACTGAGAATGTTTGGCTGCTTATGTTTATTTGTATCCACTCTGTTCTTTTATCTGAAGCCAAAGCTTCCTTCCTGTATCCTCCCACCTCCTCCATTTGTCTAAGGCTAAATTACCCACATTTAATCCTAGCAGTTATCCTGAGCCTTTTATCATGCTCAAGGCAGCTGGCTGCTTTACAGCTTAGCCAAAATCATTCACGAAAATCTAGGCAAAGGGACAAGAGGATCACGTCCATGTGATATTAATATATACATTTAAATTTAATTCTTAACAGCATACTTTAAGTAAATATGATTACCCCATTTCACAAATAAATTGAGGTTCAAAGTGACTTGCTGGAGGTCAGTCTGTTAAGAGCAAGATGCTGATAAATGGCAGCATCATTATGGTCTCCTTTCCCCTGTCTAGTAGTTCTGTGGGGGCGGGGGGGGGGGCGGGCATGGTGGGAGGCTTTTTGAGTACAGGACATCCAGAAGAGACACTGGACCTACTCTGACCTCTTTTTACAGAAGTAAGGTGTAAATCTAGGGCGAGCAGACAGTGTTAATACATAGGGATACTGCCTAAGTGAAGGATTTAGGTTAGTTAGCAGCCGGGCTTCTACCTGCTGGCCACAGACAAACCTGTTCATTCCTCTAATCCATCATTTAGTACTTAGATGCAGTGGTCCAAGCCCTAGGCTAGGTGCTGTCACATACTGCCTCATTTCATCTTCACAACTCTGTGGTATAATTTGATTGCCCTCATTTCACAGATGAGACTGTCAGGATCAGAAAGATGAAATTATTTTCCCAGGGTTCCACACTAGAGAGGAGTAGAGTTAGAACCAGCCTTGAAAGCCCAGGTTGATTTCTATGTTGGGACCAGATAATAGTTCCCATAAGGCTCATGGCAAGCATTGTTGTTGTTGTTGTTAAGTACCATTGAGTCGGTTCTGACCCATAGTGACCCTGTATAGGGTTTCCAAAGAACAGCTGGTAAGCTTGAACCAACGATCTTGGGGTTCAAACTGACTTTGCAGTCCAGCACATTAACCTACAGTACCACACCAGGACTCCCTTGGTAAGCATGGTTGGTGGTGGTTATGTACCGTGGTCAGCTCCGACTCATTATGACCCTGTACAGGGTTTCCAAGGCTGTAAATCTTTACGGGAGCAGAAAGCCTCATCTTTCTCCTGCGGAGCAGCTGGTAGTTTCGAACTGCTGACCTTAAGGTTCACAGCCCAATTCGTAACCACTACACTACCAGAGCTCCTTTGGTACCATCCTGCTGCTTGGTAAGCATAGATCTCTTCAAATGAAGAAGCAGAGGAAGCATATTTCAAGCAGATCAAACAAATCTTAAAGTTTGTGTTATGCCAGACCTCACATATTTTTTCACAGATTTACCCAAGAAGGCCAGAAATAAAGTCTGCAGTATCATTTGGACAGTGTTTTAGGCTAGGTTCTATGGCAGAACAAAATCATTAACTCATGTGTGTGTGTTTGTGTAGTCCTGCTGTGGTGCTATAGGATAAGCATTGGACTGCTAACAACAAGGTTGTTAATTAGAAAGTTGTTCCTTAGAAACCCTGCACAGGGTTGTTATGAATAGAAACTAACTCTCAACTGCACTTAACAACAATTATGTATATAGATGAGGGGAGTTTAAAATGTGGAAAGTTTTCACTCTCATTTCAATTTTCCCATGAATGTTTTGAAATCCCTTCATGGCATGCAGTATATATGCATATATATGTATATATATGTTGTTGTTGTATATTGTTGTTGTTAAGTGCTGTCTAGTTGGTTCTGACTCATAGCAACCGTGTATAGGGTTTCAGAGGAGCAACTGGTGGGTTTGAATCTCCAACCTTTAGGTTAGCAGTCCAGTCCTTATCTTACGGCACCACACCAGGACTAGAGAGAGATTTAGTTCAAGGAAATGGCTCATTGGTTGTAGAGGCTGACCAGTCTCAAATCTGTGATCAGGCATCAGACTGGAGGCTTCTTATTCAGGCTCATACGATTGCAAGGGCTGACAAACCCAAAAATGGAAGTTCAGATAGCAGGCTGCTGGTTCACATCCCAAAAACTAGAGAGAGAGGGCTTTGCCAGAACATCCACATATAATAGGGTAAGTCAGAAAGTATTGCTACTGGGTTCTAGTTGATACATTTATGAGTTTATTCCTAACAAAATGTGTTTAAATATCTCTGCCGTCAGTGGTGGCTGCAGACAAAGTTCTCTCAATAATACGCTTGTCTTAGTCTCATTAGGGTGCCTTCTAAAAAAGGTCCAATCCAAAGTGGTTCTTCTGAGGGGATTTCTGCTAGGCCAGTTCAGTTCAAGGCAGAGAAGTCAGATCAGAAGGTTATGGTGACTGGGGGGAAATCCCAGAAAGGTAATCTTGATAGATTTTCTGAAAGAACAAAGGATGATCATGAGGGCTTACTAGAAACAGCTCTTAAGAAAATTGAAAACTGCAATGATGGAAAAAAAAAAGGGCCAGGAAAGTCATGCCGAGACATTTTTTTCCATTACAGCAATATACCTGCTCATTTTTGAGGGGAGCAAAGCCTGTTGGGGATCTTGTTGGGAAAGTTTACCCCATCCACCCTACAGCCTTGATCTTATCCTTTAAGCCTTCTTTTTCTTCCAAAAACTCAGAAGAACATTTAAAATGAATACATAAGGATACCAGAACTCCAATTTTGATGTGCACAGAATTGTTCAGGAAAGGGTTAAAAAATGGAACCACTTCTTTTAGGAGTTTATAGATCTAGATGGAGGATGTGTCAAGAAACAATAGCTTCACTTTTGATATTTTTGTTTAATATAAAGGTTTCTGTGTGGTGCTGTAGGATAAGCACTGGACTGCAAGGTTGGTCTGAACTGCAAGTCAGCGGTTCAAACCCACCAGTTGCTCCTCAGAAATGCTATACAGGTTTGCTATGAATCAGAACTGACTTGATGGCACTTAACAGCAACAATGATTTTACAACAGTACTTTTTGAAGTTCCTTCATGTATATATGTATGTGTTACGTATTACAAAACAAGGAAGAACTACTGTACTACAATTGCAGTCTATGCTTCTACAAGAGGTCATGTGGTCAAAGCTGGTATTTAAAACTACCCTCTTACACCACCCATTTTGTATTCCCTTTGTCCTCAGCATATACCTCAGTTGGCCATTGTTCCTTACCTGGTGGGGTGACTCAAACCTTCATTCTTGAAAGCTCTGAGCCATTAGCAGTCATGCTGGATTGGGTTGCTGTAGTTTTCCATTGACTTTAGTGACAAAGCATGGTAGTACTAAGAGATAGCCTAAGGAATCACTCGTATTCCAGACAT